TCAGACTTCAACATCAAAGCGTTATCCTATTTGCAGATCACCCCTTCAACTCAACAACTGGTGGTAAATCACCCCCTCAGCTCATTTCACGCGCAAATCACCCCCTCAACTCAGCTGCAGTAGCAAATCAGCCTCTCTGTTAAGGCTTCCGTTAACATTTAACAGTCCGCTCACAAGCCCTTCCTCTGTGTCTGACGTGGCCTTTTTTTTCTGAGGTGGAGGCACACCTGGACAAATACCTAAAAATCAGCATCGGAATGCAAGCATCGCTTTCTTCTCTCTTCCCGTTAAAATCTCCAAAGATCTGCCAAACTCAGACGAAGAAACTTCAGCAGATGCTCAGCCCTCGTTGTTTTCTCTGGCTGGTAATCCGCCGCGAATTTCCTTTCTCTTCAATTCTCTTTTTCTCGATCTGAACTCACCTTCTCGCATTCAATCGAATGGTTTAGCTATCATCTCTCTGCATTCTATTCAGTTTTTACAGATCTTTTGATTACTGGTAACAAAGTTGTTCCGATTCTTTCTGTAAATGGTTAAATATTTTGTTTCTAAAGTCAATTCGTTTTTCTCTGATATTCATTTCCTGATCTGCGATTTGTTTGTAGTAAAATTTTCATGTATGGCATAGAAACGCTCTTGAAATGTCTTTATAGATGATTATTATAGGAGACTGCAAAATCGCGAATCATACCAATTCTGCCTTATGTTATTCAATTCGTTGTTTTGAGAATTGATGCTTTCTGCTGTCTTTTGATGAGTTTTCTAATTTATGTTTGCAGGATGTGACCAATACTAGTTAGACTATTCAAGACATTCCCCATGTTTGAAAGTCCTGGAGCATCTCATAGTCCTCATCTTCGCAAGCTTGGCAACAGAGCTGTTGTCTCGGACCTAGGTGAACTAAACTTTTCGTGATAGTAACCAACTCACCGTGATTAGTTTGCATCTTTACTTTGCTGTATTTATGCAATGTATATTTTGAGTCTGTGGCATTGGAACTGAATAAAATAATGATTTAAGACTGCTATTTCATTCTTCTGAAAAGTGTGAACTCGTTCAAGACTTGTAGAAAGTTGACCACAACTCATGCATTTGAGAACATGCATCAATTTAACTGCATTGTTCTTGAAAATTAGGAATGGAAGTTCCACTTTTAAACAAGAAGCATTGCCATTGATGCTTTAATCAAATGCACTAGGTCACCCCCATGAACAGTTCCTATTGTTATTTATCCATCATGACATCCATCAAAAGTTTTTGCTTCTTTTTTTTCATTAATATATGTTTTCCTATTTTCTTTTACATCTTGTATGATCCATTTAATTTAATTTAATTTTTTTTCAGGTACAAGTGATCCTGCAAATAGTGTCCA